CTTCCTCCCCTAAAAACCGCCCCTTCTTCTCTTCCATCGGCAGTCCCGGGAGCTGCGGGGGGACACGGAGCCCCACGTCGCCGCGCTGAGGTAAAACGCCGGCTCGGGGATGGAGGGGAAGAGGCCTGGCTGGGGAAGGGCTGCGGGGTGAGCCCTTCTGCCGCCCTGCCCAGGCCCTGGGGAGGCTGAATCCGTGCGGGTCGGGGTCTGGAGGGCAATGGACAGTTGTTTTCACGCAGGGTGTTCCTTGTGGTTGTCACTCCTGAAGTGCTCGGTGGTCCCTGTGCCACCCACACTCCGTGCTGGGGTGTCCTCCTGTGTGGGGCTGCAGGAACACGGTGCCACTGGCAGGAGCATCCTCAGCTGTTTGAATGGTTGGAAGGGAGATGGTCAATCAGTTTAGGCTGTGGGGGTAGGTTTTATAACAGGTGGAGGACACTTAACCTTGTGCTTGTCTTGTCAGACGTGCTCTCTGTGAAGAATTCCGAGCGTGGCTTTCTGCTGTCACCCAGATTGAGCTGGAGCCAACTATTGACATCTCCTGTGCTAAATACGAGTATACTGGTCAGTCCAGAAGTGATTCCCTTCCTCAGAGTTTCTGTGGGTGTAGGGAGTGCTCTCTGTCTACAGAACACCCTGTGACATAACCCATCTCTGCCTCGAGAGGGTCCAGAAGGAGCACATCAGAGTCTCAGAGTGTAAAAGTCCCAATTATGTTTCCATCATTCCAGGTGACAACTGCACCTGCCCTTTTAGCCATACAAAAAACATCACTGTAGGAAGGGGAGAAATTTTACTGCTGTCAGCTCTTCTTTTAAAATGTCTTTTGCACAATGAATTGTGGGTCCAGGTTTTCTGTACTCAGGGCTCCCCCTCACCTCTGTGCCAGCAACAAACCTCCTCAAAGGGCAGTTCTGTATTTAAAAGAGCTTGAATCATTATTTAAGTCAGGAATCTGTGTCCAGTGACAACTGTGAAGGGGTGGGTGACAAATTCTAACTGCCCTTACCCATCAGAGTGGTCAAAGTGCAACCCCACAGAGGTGAATCCTGGAAGTCTGGGTTGCTGACTAGTGAGAAGGCAGTTCCTGGGAAGAGCATGTTTTCAGTTTGTGGGGACAGAGCTGGGAAGCAGCCATGGGAGTGAATCCTGGGTGTGCAGGATTTTGCTGCAGCAAAAAGGTGTGTGGTTGCAGATGTCCTGCTGTGCCATGATGATGAGCTGGAAGGTCGGAGAGTTGCTTTCATCCTCTACCTTGTCCCACCCTGGGAGAAAAGTGATGGGGGAACTCTGGACCTGTACAGCACGGATGGTAGGTGCTCACAGCTCAGGGGGCACAAAGAGGGGGGGGTTATGCAGCCCCTGCAGTTGCTCTCCTCAACCAGTAGCAGGGAGATGAAGAGTTCCTCCTTGGTCCAGGGAAGCTGATGTGCAGGTAGAATTGGCACCTTAGAGCTGGGATGTGGCAGGGGTTGCAGGCAGTGGGTGACAGCAGAGCAGCTGGAGAGGGGAAGGGAGAGAGGGAATCCTTTGCCTCCCAGTTTGGTTTTTGGAAGGGGCAAGAGTGGAGGCAGGATGGGAGCAAGGCCAGTGACTGTGCTTGGAACTGGAAAATGATGGAGATCATTTCCCATTCCAGCAGCAGAAGCCCACTGCTTCATGGAATGGTGAAGGTCAGAAGGACCTTCAAGATCATCCAGTTCCAACCCCCTGCATGGGCAGGGACACCTCCCACCAGCCCAGGCTGCTCCAAGCCCCATCCAACCTGCCCTTCAACACTGCCAGGGATGGGGCAGCCACAACCTTCCTGAGCCACCTATTCCAGTGCCTGCAACAGGCTCAAGCCCTTGCTCTGAGCTCCATCCCTTAAACCCAGGTGTCTCACTCACAAAGTCAGAGAGAAAGGGCAGTTTCCAGTGAGTCCCAGTTCCTGTCTTAACCAGAGTCTGTTTCCTTCCTCCTCAGAACACTCTCAGCCACAGCAAATAGTCAAGTCATTGGTGCCTTCGTGGAACACCCTGGTTTTCTTTGAAGTGTCTCCAGTCTCTTTCCACCAGGCAAGGAGCTGCCTCTTGTTCATTTTTTATTTTTTTGTTAATTCTCCTTGTTGTGGTTATTTCTGTGCAATAACTCTTTGTGTGTTAGTGCTGCCCTGCTGGGGAGGGAGGAGGGAAAAAGGGGGTGGAGACTCCTGGAAGTGCTGTGTGTTGAAGGCAGGACTTCAAAGAGGACAAGGACTGGCAAAGCCACCTGGAGGGGGTCAGTCTGGCTTCATGAAATGCTGATGTGGTTAAGGAGCACCTCGTGGCCCTTATCAGGAAGATCCCTGGGAACAGGGGGAATGTTCTTTGGAGCTGCAGGACACAGACACCCAGTGGAAGGCTGAAATTCCTGCAGACTGAAGGATACCAGGGACTGGAACTAACAGGGCCAAAGAGCAAAAGGTTGGAGGGGAAGAAGATCAGTGGTGTAGGTTGGGCCCTCACCTAGACTTCTTAAGGTTTTACTTTTGTGTCATTTATGTCTTGCAGTTAATTAACAGAAACATCTACTTGGTCACTGCCCTAATTGTTTTCAGGTTGTGATTTATCTCATCATAAAAATCCATGTTCCACTGACCCTTGTGACCACCCCTGACCTAAAAACCCAGTGCCGAAGTGCTGTTCAAAAAGCCACAACAGTCTGTGGCTTTGCAGCCAGTCCTGAGGGGGTGGCTCCCTCTTCACCCCGTGGTTACAGCACAGCTCCCCAGCACCTGATATCCTCCAGTTTAGCCCAGTTTAGCCCCTGCACAACTTGATGAAACCAAGATTTAAAGGTGCCCATTGCTGCGAGAAAACCAAGGGTTTCCACAGACCTAGCTGAATGCCAGGGTAGAGGGGCTGCCCTTGGTCTGCTGGAGAGGCAGACAAAGACCCAAAGCTCTCAGGCAAATTCCCTTCATTGTGCCTTATTTTATAGCACTTTTTTAAGAAGTAAAAGACACCAAAAAAGAGAGAGAGGAAAAAAAGAGAGAAGTCCAGCCGTGCAATTTGCTGTGGCCCAGAGATGCCCGGTGGTTTCTGAGTTATAAGCTCTGATTTTTGCAGCTTGGGGTGGCTGGTTCTTCAACAGAATAAAAGGTAGAAAAATAAAAGGCACTTACTTAAAAGAACAGAGTGGCTGAAAGCTCTGAGAGGGAATGGATTCTGCTGGGAGCTTGGAGCAAAAGCCTGGGCTGGGATTCTGGAAACCAACAACAAACTTGAGCAGTGAAATTTGTTTTAGCTCTCTCTCCTTGAGCCAAGAGTAACCCAGGCTCTCTGGAGCCAGCTCCTGTGCTGAGCCCATGGGATGCCCATGCCAGCTGGTCCCTGGATGTTTGGAATAACCAGTGACATGCTGCCCAACCTTGTTCCAGGTGTCAGAAGTCCTGGCTGAGGGGAAGTGCCGCTTGTCACTCAGCGGCTGGTTCCACGGCCCCCCGACAGTCAGACCCACACACCAGGGTGACACTGCCCTGCCCTGCAGCCCACACATCCCCCACGATGTGAGTAGCAACTCTACCCCTGCTTACCTGCATGGCTGCTCCTTCCATCTGCCTGGAATACCTTGGGAGGGGATGCACTGATGCTTGGGGATTCTTGAACTCATCCCATTTCCTCTCCATAAACCCGTGGCTTGTTTCTTCCTTCCATGCCTTCCTGGTCTCTGTCTCTCTTGCATGGCTACAATAGTGCAGAGAAGGCAGCAAATCCTGCAGGGAACTAAAGGAAGGGATGGAGTGTAGAGGGGGAGGAAGCCAGCCCTGTGGCCAGCTGGGAACTGGGGAATCCTTTGTAGTTTCACCAGTTCGGTACCATTCAAATCTGTTTCCCTTCCAGCATGAAATCTTGTATGAATGGATCAACCCAGTTTATCTGGACATGGATTCCCAAGCTCAGATCCAGGAGGAATTTGAGGAGCGATCAGAAATTCTCCTGAAAGACTTTCTCAAGGTGAGCCCAGGGGTTCAACCTGACGTGGTCTGGCAGAGACCACATGTCCCATCCCCTCGAGGGGAGTGGGACAGATTGACCCCTCGAGGTCCCTTCCATCCTGTGGGTGGGTCCCCTCTGCCTGCCTGTGCCCTGCTGCCTAGGGACCCACCCAGAATCTAACTCTTTCCTCCAACATTCTTGTTTCCTGCAAGAAGCAAAGCAGGAGAGTGGAAAGAGGTGCCATCCTCCCTACTCCCCAGCCTTGTGGTGACCAGAGGGTCCTTCCTGGGCAGCTCTCACTGCTTAGCACTTGGGGAACTTGACCTGTGTGTGAAGTAAACGACCTGTAATGGTTTTGTCTTACTTCTCAAGGCTGATTTACCTCTGGTTCACCACCTGGGTCTCAGTGAAATGACATTCCCACCAACCCAAGTAGCATTTGATACCTCTTGGTCTCTGGCTTGCAAAGCCATGATGCCCACCCAGGCTGTGCCCCTCAGTTCAGCAGTCCTTGGGAGCCTCAGACAAGTCAGAGAAAACATGAGTGCCTTACCTGAGGGTGGGTGGTGGCTGCTTCCAGCACACCAAGAGAGCTGAAGGTGAAGTTTCTGCACTGTCTTTTCTCTCCTAGAAAGAGAAATACCAACTTCTGTGTGAGGCTTTGGAGAGCAAAGACATCGAGTGGAGCAGCCGAGGCCCTGCCAATAAAAGGTAGGGAATGCCAGGAGTCCTGCTCCTATGGATCAGACCAGGCAGGAGATGCTGGGAGCCTGGACATGGTCCTTGTTGGTTCTCCACTGCTGATAGCTCTGCTGTCTTCCAGACTCTACGAGGCAGCAGCAGAAGAAAGCCTCCCTGAGCTCCTGAAGCAATTCCTGCAGCTCCTACACTCCGAGGCCTTGTTTTTACTGCTCTCCAACTTCACTGGCCTAAAGCTGCACTTCCTGGCTCCCTCTGAGGAGGATGAAGGTGCTGGGGAAGGAAGGGCAGCAGACACTGCTGGGCAGAGCAGTCCCAAACATGAGGAGGAGACCAACCAGCAGGCTGAGAGCAGCTCCCATCAGCCAGCCCATCCTGACCACATTCCTGCAGCACAGGGGAGTGACACACACAACGGTGAGTCCAGCAGCACCAGGAAAGGAGAATCCTGATATTAAGGGTGTCAGCAGCAGAATTCCCAGTGATTTTTATGGAATTAGGATTTCATCTTGTACTGCAGCCAGCACAGAGATTTTACCTCTTTACTCTGCTCTGGTGAGACCCCACCTGGAATTGTGTCCAGTTCTGGAGCCCCCAGCATAAGGACATGGAGCTCCTGGAGTCCAGAGGAGGCCCCAGAGATGATGGGAGGGCTGGAGCAGCTCTGCTCTCGAGCCAGGCTGGGAGAGTTGGGGTGTTCAGCCTGGAGAAGAGAAGGCTCCAGGGAGACCTTAGAGCACCTTCCAGTGCCTGAAGGGGCTCCAGGAGAGCTGGGGAGGGACTTGGGACAAGGGCAGGGAGGGAGAAGACAAGGGGGAAGGGATTAAAACTGGAAGAGGGAGATTGAGGTGAGACATGAGGAGGAAATTGTTTGGTGTGAGGGTGGTGAGAGCCTGGCCCAGGTTGCCCAGAGAAGCTGTGGCTGCCCCATCCCTGGCAGTGTTGAAGGGCAGGTTGGATGGGGCTTGGAGCAGCCTGGGAGCCAGGCTGGGAGAGTTGGGGTGTTCAGCCTGGAGAAGAGAAGGCTCCAGGGAGACCTTAGAGTACCTTCCAGTGCCTGAAGGGGCTCCAGGAAAGCTGGGGAGGGACTTGGGACAAGGGCAGGGAGGGAGAGGACAAGGGGGATGGATGAAAACTGGAAGAGGGAGATTGAGGCGAGACATGAGGAGGAAATTGTTTGGTGTGAGGGTGGTGAGAGCCTGGCCCAGGTTGCCCAGGGAAGCTGTGGCTGCCCCATCCCTGGCAGTGTTGAAGGGCAGGTTGGATGGGGCTTGGAGCAGCCTGGGCTGGTGGGAGGTGTCCCTGCCCATGCAGGGGGTTGGAATTAGATGATCTTGAAGGTCCTTTCCAACCCAGACCAGTCTGTCTGGGCTTCCCTGATTTCCCTGGCTCCTGTGTTCCCTCCCCAGGCCCGGGTACCCCGCTGTGTGCCGGGGAGCTGAGGCGCTGGGCCCACGGGCACTACACTCTGGTCCATGACACTCAAGCAACAGAATTTGCTCTCGACCTGCTCTTCTTCTGTGGCTGTGAGGGTAAGTGGGCAAAATCCAGAGATACCAGACACTCCTTACAAGGGCTGCATCAAGGAAGAGCTTGGGAATTCTCAGCAGTGCTGCCATAGCCAGAATTTCCCTGCTTTGTCCTACACAGAAGGGCTCTGCAGACTCTGTCCTAGTCCTCACTTCTGCCTAAGCCCTGATTTCATGACTTCTTAGAAGGAGTAATTAGAAGGGCTAATCTCCAAAGATTTGGGAATGTGGCTTTGGGATCGAGAGCAGCTTTGACCTTCCCGGCTGGAGCCAGGAGGTGGCGCATGGGGCAGAGGAAGAGGCTCCCTCTCCCAGAACTTCCCTAAGCAGCTGATCTGGGCGTGGAGGAGGCTCGAGGGGCCAGAACACCTCCTGAAAACATTCCAATTCACCCCTTTTCTCCTCAAAATTATCACCCCCCTCCAGTCCACAAAGCCCAGGGTTCTCAAAAGTTATTTGTCTTAGCATTTTAGGCTGACTGCTAGTTAGTTAGTGCTGAAAAATATCCAAACAGGAGAGTTTTTGGGCCAACTGAGCCCAGAATTGACAGCCAAAACCACCTGGCCCATGCCAGTAACTGGACTGAAAGGCTTTTGCTGAGGCAAAGCTGCTCTACAGGAGCAGCTGAGAGCCCAGCAACCTTAACCTGCCTGTCTGTGGTAAAAGGCAAACCTGGGATGTTTGCTTCAAGTTGTCCTTGAGTTGAAGAAAAGAAGAACCTGGCAGGAGGTAAAGTGGGAATGGCCCTGTGAGCTCTGCCTGTGCCTCAGGAAGCAGGTGCACAGTGACCTCAGGCAGGGAGAGACCTGGGGGACATAGGACACAGCTTCATGTGGGGGACTTCTGCCTTCAAGACAGGAGCAGGTTTGTGCTGCAGTTAGCACAGGTGGGCCCTGAGCTACACTCAGGGACTGGTGCATCCATATCCTGCTGCTAGAATTCCCAGGGCTGGGATGTGTGGGATCCTGCTGGGGCCTACAAGAAAGCTGGGGAGGGACTTTGGACAAGGGCAGGGAGGGAGAGGATGAGGGGGATGGATTAAAATTGGAGGAGGGGAGATTGAGGTGAGACATGAGGAGGAAATTGTTTGGTGTGAGGGTGGTGAGAGCCTGGCCCAGGTTGCCCAGGGAAGCTGTGGCTGCCCCATCCCTGGCAGTGTTGAAGGGCAGGTTGGATGGGGCTTGGAGCAGCCTGGGCTGGTGGGAGGTGTCCCTGCCCATGCAGGGAGGTGGATCTAGATGATCTTTAAGCCCCCTTCCAACCCAAACCATTCCATGATTCCAGGAACTGCAGGGAGTGGGGTAGAAAACCAGCATCTCCTGGTAGGCTGGATGGATCCCAGCCAGTGTTGAACTTGTAAGAACCTTTCTTTTCTATTTTAAGACTGGGACCCAGAGTATGGTGGCTTTACTTCCTACATTGCTAAAGGTGAAGATGAAGAGGTAAGGACATCAGCTCCAAGCTGCAAATGAGATAAAAACATTTGGGGTGGAGATGCATAATTACACTTTCCATAACTCTGACATCATCCTGAGGGTGCTTGGGATGGCACCAGAGCCTCCCTGCCTGAACCACTGGCCCTGGGGGGAGCTTTGCTTTCAGCTCCCACTCTTCCTTCTCAGCCTTCAGCTCCCACTGTTCCTCCTCTGCCTTCATCTCCACCTTCAGTTCCCACTGCTCCAGCTCCCACTCTTCCCTGCAGAGCCAAAGGCTCAGGAAGCCTCAGAGGGGCTCAGGGATGCAGCAGAGGTGCTGCTTTTCCAGGGAAGTGCAGTTCACTAGTGTCACCTTCAGCACCAGGACCAGTGACTGGGCTGAGCTGCTACCAAGCAGCCCAGAATCTCTTGCTGTCTAATAAAAGCTTGAGCACTGTTAAAATAGGTTCATTTTCTACCACCAGACCTTTGTTGCGAGCAGATTTGGAAACACTTTGGTTTTTTTCCTAAGAAGGCTGGTTTTGTGATGAAACTGATGTCCTCCCTCCCCTTCCTCCCTCCCAGCTGCTGACAGTCAACCCCGAGGACAACTGCTTGGCCCTGGTTTACAGAGACAAAGAGACCTTGAAGTTTGTCAAGTACATCAACCATCGCAGCTCAGCACGGCTGGGGAAGCAACCCCACAGAACAGGGTTTTGGGATTTCTCCTTTGTCTACTATGAGTGATGGTGCAGAGTGTGTGACCACCCTCCTGGGGGTGGGTTCTCTCCAGGTGTTCAGCTCAAAAACCCTCAAACCAAGGCAGCTGCTGGTGCCACCCTCACCACACTGCATGGGCTCAGCAGGGCCCAGGGGACTGGTTTATTAACTGGACAAATGGAAGTTCAGCCTCCTCCCCAGGTCCTTTGACACCCCCCCTTGACTGCTTCTCATGCTACATGGAGGGGGTCATAGTCACACAACTGTCACCTTTCCAGCTGTTCCCTCATGGAAACACTGGGATGTCTCCCCAGCCTGCAAGGGTGAACACTGGGATTGTGCTTTGCCCCAGGCTGATGACTGGTTTTATGAAATAAAAAACAAAAAGGAAGTGGGTCAGTTAAATGCTTCAAAACCTGGTTGGGCAAGTTTTGTTACCAAATGCCCAAGACATTTGCTGGGGTTTAACTGTGTTTGCTGTTTGTAGAGGCAGAAATCAAGGAGCTGCCATGGGAAATATGAGGTTTTTCCAGCTGCACAACTGTGTGGAGTTGGGAAGGAAACCAGTGAGGCTACAAAGTTGCTGGCACTGGGAAGGACCTGGCACTGGAACAAGGAGCAGGACTTCATTATTCTAAATGCTGCACAGACAGACCCAGATGCAGCCCCTTTCTCCAAGAATTTACAAGCTAAATAGACAAGACACCTGGTCCTGTGTCCTCTGCCTGGGTGGGTACATGATCAGCTTTGTGCTTTGGCTGTGGAAGGGTTGTGGCTCCAGCCCCAGAAGGGGAGGTGGGAGAGCACTCACCTGTCCATGGCAGCAGGAGGGGGTTAGTTTTGTTCTCTACTAGGATCCAATGTAGCTTCTATCCCTGGAGATCCACTCTGCTCTTCCCAGGTAGCTCACACATCCAGCTCCTGTGGAGAACAGAACAAGAGGGGTCAGTGGCTCAGTCTGTTCCCCCTGGGGAACTGCCCAGGGGCTGCAGGAGGCAGCCAGCCTGCTGGGGGGCTGCACCTGCCTGCCTGGAAGGGGTTTTTTTGGCTCTGAGCACACACAGGTTGCACAGCCACTCCCCCACACCAGGCTGTGGGTTTGCAGAGAGCAGGGGGGAGCGTGTCTGCATCATTCCTGCCCCTCCCAGGCTGGAATAAGGCAGCTTTGGATCAGAGCCTCCTGCCTCTCCAGTGCCAGGCCTGGCAGTGAAGCCCAGCAGAGGAGCAAACAAGCTGGAAGCAAGGCTGGCTGTGCTGGTACAGGGATGCTCTGCAGCCCTCAGCAGTGTCCTTGGGACAGGGCTTCATGGAGACAGGAGCAGCAACCTTCAGCTGTCACCCCTGCACACACAGCCCAGGAACCACTGAGGAACAAAACTGCTGCTCTTGCTTCTCAAATGGAAGGTCTCAGCCCCTGCTGATGTGCCAGGGGAGAACACAGGCATGTGGAGCCTGATGATCCAGTATCAATTCAGTCCTGGACAAGGAGCAGTTGTCCCTCCTGCACTGTTGGGCAGGAAGAACAACTGGGATGTGGCTACTCTGAGATCTGCACCATCTTGGTCCTATTCCCACTGGTGTCCCAGAGCTGGCTTCTCCCTCAACTGCCAAGACTTCCATCTCCCTTTGCTGCTGACAAGGGGATGAACCCAGAAACAAACCCTGCAGGGACAAACCCCCCCTTCCCTGTGGACCACTGGTTTCTGAGGCACATTCACAGGGAGAAAAGTTCTCATTCTGAGCTGCTCCAGTAGGGAGAGAGACAAGTAATGGAGGTTTCCAAGAAAAAAGAAATAAGGCAAAGTGGTTTTGGAACAAAGGTAACAGGTAACATAGCTATTTACAGCCCAGCCAGCTAGAAAAAAATGAGAGTAAATTAATTAACAAAAAGAAGTTACTTATTTTTCTGCATGAGCAGCCTCAGAGGGTGCTTGGTAGAACCTGGAGCCTCCCAGAAGGCTTGGGAAGCAGCTGGGCTCCCTGAAGTTCGCTGCTTTGTGATAATGAACACACTAGAGGGCATCCCAGCCCCTTCTTGAGCCAACCCCTAAGTTACCTGATCACAGCACCACCCTTCTGCCTCCGGGGACTGAGGTGAAGTCATCCCAGCAGCCAAATCTGCAGTTAACATGCAAAGATTTAAAAATCAACTCATCCCCGCTCCCTCCACCCTTCCCGTTCAGCCCCACACGTGGCTGGGGTGCAGGGAGAGGGGAAGACCCTGCTCACAAAATGTGGGGGAGAAGGAGGGGTCCTTACTTAGACCTGGCCAATAATGGGAGCCCTCCTTGTAGATGCTCTTGCTGGGTCTAAATCTGTATTTACGAGTAGGTGGAGCTGCTTGAAAAGCACTCGGATCATTATGGAAAGGAGCATGAAACACACACATACCCACAAAATGAGTAAGCAGGGAAATAAGAAAGAAAGAAGATTGAGAACAGTGTGTGAACAGAGTCCTGGGGTGTGAGCAACAAAGTTCCTACCAGGCAGGGTGGCCTGGAGCAGGTGTTGGTCAGCTTGGCTGCACCTCCAAAGCCTGGCATGGGAGGCAGGATCCCAGCAGCTTCTGGTTCCTCAAGTGCTGAGCTGCACAAAATGCTTCACCACCATTTCTGGGGAGGGATCTGGTGGTTATTGGTTTGCCAAGGGGCTGAAAATAAAAACCAGGAACCATTCAATATGGAGCAAGATGGAAGAGTTCAGCTGCAGGGCAGGCTGGAGGGATGGTTTCACCACCTGTAGGAAACAGGCAGCAAAGAAGTTCTGACATGGGGTGTTGAGTGAATCAGGATGAAGATGAGCAGCAATTCCCAGGACTTGGAGAAGCAGGGGTTAAAATCAGATAACCTGGCATCAAACGTCCATTTCAGTTGTGCTGTGTTTGGGGTTTTTTTTTTAAAACTCCAAACTGGAACTTGAATTGGGACATTGAAAGTCACTGTTGCACAGATCCCTTCTTGGGCAGGTGTCCATCCAGCATGGAACTTCTGCAGTGTGGGTCCCTGGCAGGAAAGAACCCCCAGGAGGAGGGAAAGATCCCCCAGGAGGAGAGGAAAGATCCCCCAGGAGGAGAGGAAAGATCCCCCAGGAGGAGAAAAGATCCCCCAGGAGGAGAAAAGATCCCCCAGGAGGAGAGGAACAGAAAGGGCCCCCCAGGGCTTAGTCCTGAGCTGCATCCTACCCCTGGGGACTGATCTCAGCTCACACCAGCTGGCTGCTGCACACCAGCCAAGGGCTGCTTTACCTCACCAGGCAAACTTGGGATCAGTTCAGCTTACAGGAAAGGGATTTGGCACTTGGCAGAGGTAAAAGTTGCTCTTACAGGAAAATCAATGACAATTTGTTGTCAGAAACGTAGCCAGAAATCAGCTTTCTCAGAGGTCTGGGGTGTGATTGAGGGACTGACCTCACTGCCAAGAACAAAACAGACCCGGGACTGGAAGTGCCTGGTTGTGCAGCCTTGAAAAATCAGGCTGCTGGGAAAGCTGCTTCTACCAGAACCACTCTGATCATTGAGCAGACTGGGTCCACGGAAGTGAGCACTAGGATTTTGAGCATAAAGAACAAAAGCAGAGGTAGAAGCAGTGGGAACAGGTACAGCAGGTGGCAGAAAGCCCAGCACTTATGCCAGGAGACTGTTCCACAGTCAAGTCTCAAAGCTCACTTGCTTAGAACAGCATGGGTGGCTCCTCCTGCCTTGCCAAGAGGCTGCATTTGACTAACGACCAGGTTCTTCAAAGGGCTGAGCTGAGCTCCTGCTGCAGATGAGGAGACAGAGCTGTGCTTTGAGTTCTCCGTGCTGAAGGGGCTGAAGCAGCGGCAAGGGGACATCTTGGGGGTTAAAACACACAGCA